AAACCTCAACTTGAATTTTATTACCACTTTCTCACCCGTCTTGCTGGTTTTTCCCAGCCAAAATATATTTATAACTAGACCTCAAAACTTTCAGTACCATTGAGATTTCTCATGCCATTGAAAATGCCAACTGACTCGATTTTAATAATCAGTCACGTACAGCCTTAACAAAAATATATATTTGTATACAATCATGCGTATGGTGTGGGCCAAATAATCATTTTCAATAATTACGAAACAAAAATGATGGATCTGCCGACAAAACACTTGCCACAGCCAACAAAATAGTTCCTTCTTATCGCAAATAAAATAAAACAATTCATTTTAGGTAATGAGCGTGCACATAAATCGGGTGGGGAATTCGAATCCATTTCATATATGAAATGGGAATACGAATAGGAAAAAAATCGGGAACCTTATCAGCAAAGCAAACACAGTTGCAAAACAGCAAATAGCATTTCAAAGCCGATAGCTAAAGCCAATCTGCCTCAACACAAAAAAACTTATACATATATTTGTTATGGGGGCCACAACGAAAGGAATCAGAAAAAAGGGGGATCTCCAATTTCCAAGAATTCAATTGGGAGCGATAAGCGAAAGCTACGATGGTTGTACCATGTACACCCCATATATAGAATTACTATATATCGGTCGAGAGGGATCGTAATTTATTACTACAAAAATATGCACAAGGAAAAATATGAATTTCATTAGATTATTATTTTAGGTTGAAAAGTAAAACTATAAAGGGTAATGATTATAAGAATTAGAACATTTAATGAAACTTTTTGTTTAAGATTGATCTATGCTTCTATAAAAATAAAATTATCCCTTAAAATGTAATTAATAAAGTTCTATAAGTCAAGTTGTGTAAGATTTATTTATTTAAGTCTCTTATAATATATTTATCACTACATTTTTATATTTTTTAAACACCTTAGTAAACCCTTTTTCTTAACTACCATGAGCTAATATTATGGTGCACTAAGAAAATCTAGAAAAAAAATTTGTTTCAAAAGGTCAATAGGCTTTTAATCAAATAAAAAGTTCCTTTAAAATATAGTTAAACAAGATTTATAAGTAAAGTTTTCTTAAAGCTTATATTTAAGTTTTTATTACTAAATTTTTATATTTAAAAAAAAAACGGAGACTATTTACTTTTACGTGCTAACAGTTTATTATAATAAGAAAAGCTAGAAAATATTTGTTTCAAAAGAAAAATAGGGAAGTTGGCATTTAAATTAATAAAAAGCTACCTTTAAAAATCTTTTAAACCACTTGATGCAAAAAAAAACAACTCATTGTATGGCTAAATTTGTTAAAGTCCCTTTGGAATATTTACAATTACGTTAATTTTTTAGCAGCTTAGAGAAACATAATTTGAGCTTGTAAAAGCATTATATTTGAATAACAAAGTGAGGGGTTATTTATTTTTAAGTTGGTAGCAAAAAAAATTATATTTTATTATTTATAATTAATATAATATAAATCTATAAATATTTCTGGCAAATATCTCTAACCCAGAAAATATCTTAAACCTCTCTCCAAACTTTCTCGCCGTGTAGGAATTCAAATAATTTCATGGCAAACACACTGCCGCTGATAAGACTCGCATTTAACTATGCCAAACTTGGGCGGGGACTTGAATAAACCTATAATAATACTACATACACCTGATAAATAAACAAACAACTACAAAAAATCCCTAGTAGAAACCGTGTCTAAAATAAAACTATAATCTTACCACTTTGGGCAACGGCGATAGCGGCATGCTGAACAGATACTCATCGTTGAAGATGTTGTAATTGTCCAGCGTCATTTTGTCGTATATCTGTATGGCTTCCGTTTTGACTGTTTTTTATTTAGCTAATATTATTTATTATTTTTTAAATTGTTGCAAGTTCTGCAACGGCAGAGTGATTCAAGCGATTTCTGGCGAAATTCGCCAAAACCGAAACGCACACACAATTATAAATGTATCTGTAGCGGTAGCAATGTATCTGTATCTTGCGAATTATTTGTGTTGTCTGTTTTCAATATTTCCTAGAATTTGCTATATTGGTGCTTTAGTTTAAATTTTGTTTCAGACACCGCACATTCTGAGAGAGTCACACACACACACAATTTCGATATTTTCTGCTGACTTTTCGCGTAATTTTCTCGATGGTTTTGCGTTTATTTTGCGCAATTTCAAAGTACACTCCGAGAGCTACCGAAGCGTTTGGCACGGCCAACTTGTTTTGACTGAATGCGTCATCGCAAATGGCGCTCTTTATATACCAGCGACCCGCTCGGATTGAGTGCTTTTTTAAGAGAGAGTGAGAGTGGGAGAGTAAATTACTATCGAGTGAGTCAAAAGATATGAGAGACTCTGGCATTTCCTGAGCAGTGGCGGGGAGAGAGCTTTAAGGCCTCACGAAATACACACAACTACATACAAATATATTGGGTTAAACCCAGGCAGGAATACTATACACTATGCTCTTTGCTCTACAAATTGAGATATATTGAGATATACTCTATTTTTTGGGTGTCTCACGTGCCTGGCGGCTTGGCTTTTCTTTGGCTACGTAGAAAAGCCTTTTGTTTACTCCGATTTCGATTCTGTCCCTGTGCTTATCTTATCACCATAGTCGAGACAATTTAGTTATGACAAAAGCAACTAAATTTAAAGACTTCGGTAAAGTCCCCCAACCATATGAAACCCATGAATGGTGAACCTTTGTGTGGTGCCTTTCTTATCGCTGGCATAGCTTTTCGAAATGGGTCGCAATTGCCGCCGCCGGTGGCTCAGGTGGCTCACGTTACCAACTGCAGTCCGGCGGCGCAGGTGTTATTCCTAGGCACTCTGCTTTTTTTTTTATCTATGATACTTTAGCTTTTCAATAAATATTGATGGGGTCCCCCCCTCCTCCCCTCTTCCACCTAATAAAGCGATTGTATCGCGATGCCTTGTAATCGTATGCGAATAGCTCTAAAAAAATTATATGTATGTATATAAAAAATAAAAGGCCGCGTTGACCTTGCCGCGTCACTTACGTGCGCTTTTTATATATGTTTGTTTGTTTGTGTGTATTGCCTCCCCAAAAATGGGCGGAAAGTGCAGCGATAACTGGGTCATGTGACACTGGACATTTGTGCTCTACTTACCTGTAACGAGAAAGAGAAATTCACAGTCAATTAGGATTCTAATTAAGATCAAAATAAGTGGCCAAAGGTTTATATTCACTGACCCAAATCGATAAGGATTTGGCGAAAATAAAGACGAGACTTGGTTAAAAATTTGATATAGGAATTGAAAATATATAGGGAGGTAGTATGATATAGTAAATATCATAGTTTGATATATAGATATTTGATATATCAAAGAATGTAGCTACAATGTCATTAAATATCTGAACTCTTTTCATCATTTTCTTTTACTGAAATTGTTTCGATATCTTAAATAGAGTATAGATTTGTCACAATGTTAAAGAATTGAAAAATATATAGATAAATCGGATTACAGTTCTTGTTCCAGACCTAAAAGTATTCACAAAATTTAAGATCAGCTTGCTAGAAAATTAATTTAAAAAGAAATACGTTGGATATGAAATATCTACAATATTGCTTGTAATATAATAACGAAAATATATTTAAGCTTGATAAATAGGAATTTTAATTCTTGAAAAATATCTCATTTAACCTTAAAAAATCGATAGTACTAAAAAAATATGAGAATATGTCAGAACTGCAAAATTTAATAATTTCTACCTTAACGAAATTATAATGATACAGAGACACACTTTATAGCACACAATTTCATCTTCTTACTACATTTTAAATTATTAAAATGTCATATAAGACTTTTATTACAATTAATGCTTGGCATTATATAGTATTAGGTTCCAGATTATTAACTCTTATTTTATACCATTTACAAGTCCATAATATATTCTAGTTTAAACTTATAACTTAGTTAGTTAAAGGAGAATTCTCAATACTATACCAAAAACCCCCTTTCTTTTACTATACGATAACTTGGAAATACCCCTTAAAGCAACCTACCAAAAATCATAAACCCCTTGGTAAATTTATATACTTAAGCACAAGAGAATTCCACACACTCATTCCACTTGGACGTCACAACAATTGATAAGGTGCGCTGACATTTCCACTTCCAGTTTCGCGATTCTGTTAAGAACTGGTAATAATGCCGGTTCTGGCAAGTATTATTATATACCAGATAGCGTGGATTTCGAAAGAACTCGATGGTCAGTAGTTTTCTTTATTTAGAAACGGAATAACATATCAGGATCCAAGCACTTTCCTCCACCAAGACAGGAAGTGCTCGTAATTCGGTAATAACAAATAATGAATAATGAGAGTTTCTGGCGAAGTTGCTGGCTAAATGATTGATAAGGCCAACGCCTCGTATCTTACATCAGTGGTTTTAAAATAAAGTTATCTCTCCCTCGCTACGTATTGTTTTCCTTGCCAAAGAGATAAGGAAGTGTGGAAGGTTTTGCGATAATACTTTGCAGTTCCGTAGCGTGATCAAAACTTCCGGTCCTGATGATGATGATGATGATGATGATGGGGGTCTGGGTTTCGAGTCCAGTGTGTGTCGTAGGCCCCCATATCAAGATAAGATTTGAATGCCTAACAAAGGAATCGAATCTATGACAAATACTTGCTACCCTTTCCTTACGCATTACCAAGTGTTTATGGTGTAAACAGAAACCAATTGTGATTACCAATTGTTTGCGATATGATCAGCAAGTTGAGTTTATTAGCCTCAATTGCGAAGAAAGTTGACGTTTTTATGGCCAGGCCAGAGGATCAGGTCTTATTGGTAATACGTGCTTTGTTTTCGGTTTATAGATAAAGTCGTACTTCGAAATATATATATGAGTAACTTTGATCAAAGAAAGGTTTTCAGTTACTAATAAACAGAGTCATAAATTATTTTACTTTACTTATATTATTACATTTGTAATATATTAAAAATAAACTCCCCTGACTTTTCCTTTTACTGTCAGATTTTTCAAAATTTTCTCATAAAAATAGATAGTATTATTTTTTTTAAATCCCATATACCAAAACCAATGTTTCCATCAATGTTCTTTCGAAACAATAGCTGGCCACGTCTGGTGCCACCACATCACCTGCTCCATGGCAACTTCTCCACAATCTCTACTCCCTTTCCGACGACAAATCTCAATCAAATTAAAGCTCCCTCCACTTCCTTCAAGTCTAACGCCGACTCTGGTGATCCCGGTGCTGTGGATAGTGGTGATCCCTACCTGGTCAAGGTGGTACAGGGACATTCCAAGGAACCCCAGCTACCCAATGATCTCACAAAACGACGCTTTGGCGAGGACAGTTGGTTCTTCAGTTCCACGCCATCGGCCGAAGTGCTCGGAGTAGCCGATGGTGTCGGTGGATGGCGGGACATGGGCGTGGATCCAGGACGTTTTGCCACAGAGCTAATGTCCTGCTGTTCGAGACAAGCACAGCGTCCAGAATTCGATGGAAAGAATCCACGGGAACTGCTCATCGCTGGCTACAGGGAACTAACCCATCGCGAACAACCGGTGGTGGGTAGCAGCACCGCCTGCCTGGTGGCATTGCATCGACGGGACTGTACCCTGTACACAGCCAACCTTGGGGACAGTGGTTTCCTTGTTATACGCAACGGGAAGATTCTTCATCGCTCCAAGGAACAAACGCATGCCTTCAACATGCCCTTTCAGCTGACAGTGCCACCCACCGGGAAGGATGACCATTTTCACTTTGATCAGCCAGAGATGGCCGTGTCCACAAGCCTCTCCCTACAACCACATGACCTGGTGCTCCTGGCCACTGATGGTCTCTTCGACAACATGCCCGAAAGCATGCTCCTCCAGATGCTCAAGGAAATCCGTTCAAATTCTAAAAGGGATCTACAGGAAGGCGCTAGTTTGGTGGTGGAGAAAGCCCGTGAGCTGTCACTAAATTCCAGTTTCCAGTCACCATTTGCCATAAGGGCAAGGGAAAATAATATCTTTTATCCCGGAGGCGGGAAACCGGATGATATAACCCTTATCTTGGCCAGGGTTGAGGTTCCCTAGACTCTTGAAGAGTAATAAAGTTTTGCTAGCAGATAGTATTTCATGTCCATCAAACAAGCAGTGATAAAATCATTAAAATTTGTATATATGTAGATGGACAAGTGTTTTTGTTTATAAAGAACCCGTTTGTCTTTTTGGAAAGGCAACAAAACATTCAGAATAATAGTTATGATATTTTAAAAACGTTGATTTCCTTAAAAATGTATCATAATTCTATCTATTGATTTAAATACCTTAAAGATATATTCAGGACAATAAAAACAATAAAAAAGCTAATAATATTTATTTAATTCAAGAATTTAGACACAATTTTGTCAAAAAGATGCACACAAAAACTTGCTAAAACAATAACTAGGTTTGTACACAAACCTCTTTCCTAACAACATAATTGAATTGAATTACAGATGATATTATTATTTAAAGTCCCACCAAATCTGCTTAAATTGAATACCTCAAAGCCCTCAAAATATTAAAAAAATTATTATTTATCTACACATCTCAGTAACTCGGTAAATATTTAAATTTATTTCCTAATTTAATGACAACCCCAAACACCGAGTAAACTCATCGTATTTTGCCATTATCTCGACCGACGCTGTAGGTATAGCTGTACTATATTTATATATTTTGTTGTTTATAAAGACGCTGATTTGTATGTGCCTATATAGGTGCTCGTTCATTCAGCAAACGCGATTATGAATGGACGGTCCAGCTACAACCGATTCCACACACATTGCCGGGATGACTCACCGCCGTTTAACCAGAATTCGTGCGTTTTTTTTTCCACTTTTACCATTTTGGCCCAGTTGGTGTGTTCGGTGCGGGAGGGGGAGGAGAGGGGAGGGGAGGGGAGGCAGCGGGACGTGCCACGGCCTAGGGCTCCACACTTGGCGCCCACTCACAAAACAAAAACCCATAGTCAACAAAAAAAAAAACAAAAATATACATTTAAACGAGTTTCTCTCGACTCGTAAAAAAACGCTCAATTAAAAAAGACTCAGAGAGGGAATATACAATATATCTTGAGTGAGATATGTACATGTATCTGAGTGAGTGAAATGGAAAAAGAGCTCTCAGATACTCAGAGAGTCAGTTAAAAGGCGAAATCAGGCGATCCGATGATGGAAACACTGGAAATCCCCAATGCAGCCTTGCGAAATAATTCTCCAGCATAAAGCCTGACGATAAAAAGAGGGACAAAACGACTCGACTTGGGTATATCCCTTAAATACATTTAGTTTATAATTTCAACTCTTTAATTAGTTAATATTTACACAGAGAATTTAATCTTTAACTTGTTAAAAACTAAAAGAAATTGGTAAATATGTTGTTTAGCACCATAAGTCTCTAGTTTTCAGTAGGATATTGTCAAGAAATATCTTATTTTAATTTGTAGATACATTTAAAATTTGTTTGTTTCTAGAAGTCTAAGGGCCTTACTTGAATATTTTGCATGCTAAGAAAATGAAGTTAACTACAAAAGCAACTTAAGATACAATCTATTACACAAGTTTCTAGAAAGTCTGATGGGATAAGCCTCGTAGGAAGTTTTTTAGAAAGTATATTAACAAAAATCTCTAGAAATATCTATGAAAATGGGTTACAATTTAAAGAAAATAATCATGAAATAAATTAATAAATATACATACTTATCGAGTATTTCTTAACCTACTTTCCTGGACACTTATAGAGATTTATAGATACTTGTAGAGATTTATAGATACTTACAGAGATTTATAGATATTTTAAGAGATACAAAAAAAAAAAAAAAAAAAAATCATTGAAACAGATTTAATATAAACACTTATAAACCATTAAATTTAAGGGTATATATTATTAAATCCTCTGAAAATCCAGAATTAAATACAGAAAAAATTATATTTTATAAATATGTTTATATAGTCCTGGAATTTCTTCGATTAGTTTCGAAATTAAATAAAGTTTAATATCATTTTTTATAGGTTCTTCACCAAAACTTAAAATCCCCTTTTGATTTGCAGTTTCTTATTCAAGGAGTTGACACAATCTTGGGAGTGCTATGTTGGTCGGTTCCTGATAATACATATTTCCTTTATGCTTTGTTTTTTATCTTTTCTCGCTTTTTGCACTTTTCAACGCCATGGCGAATCGAAGCTGATGGAGCAGCACCCTTTCCCAATCCCCTCTTGCCTCCTGCTGGAATGCCATCGTCCGATGCTGCGCCTCTTCTTGGAATTCCGCGCAACAAGATGCGTCACAAAATGCGAATATATATGCTACTTATATAAGGGGTAGGAGGGAGGGAAGTGATCCCGGGGCAGCTAGGATCCCTTTTTCTTTACTCGAAGGTGTAAATCTTTCTTCAGTGGCAAGAAATATGCACTCGCCTCCAGATGTGCTCCAATTGCAATGGGGGGAAAATCCAGGCATTTTCACAGACCGGTTTCCCCCAAATACCGGCAGACATTTCCGTTGCCTGGAATTAGTTGTATTTCTGCCAATGTATAACTCAATTAGGGGATTCATGCTATACAAACTGGCATTTAGCACTAAATAATAATAACCCCTCCCCAAAAACCTCCCACAATTTCAATTTGAATTTCTGGGTATAATTCCATCTACTTGACAGAGTTCAAGGAACCCAGGAAAGCAAATTAATGACGCAGGCAGTGACGGGGTCGGGGAATTACGAAGAGGGATTCCGTTTGAGGCAGGTTAAAGGGGAAATAAAGTTAGTTATTTTATTATATTTTATATAAATATGCATTATAAAATATTTATAAATTATATACCTCTTCCCTTTGACCTATTCCTATTTTCTAATCTTTAGAACAACTAGAATAAAACTAAAAAAGCTTAGCTTAGAAAATTAATTAAATCAAAATATGTTTTTCTAAATAAAAACCATACAAAATATCATTTATAATCATTATAAAATATTGTTTCTATTGTATTACACTTCAAAGTTAAAATCAACCATATAAAAGGGTTTAAAAACCCCCCATTTTATAATTGATAATTGCAAATAATGTAACACGTTAATATTGCAACTATTATAGGCTCTCAAAACAAAACAAACAAAAAGGGAAAAACTAATAACGTAATTGCTTAAATATTATTTTTTCAGTTTAATTCGCTGTCACCGCGTTTATCAGTTTAATTTCAATCTTTTAGCATTTTGAACGAAGGCATGACTGTAGCTTTGTGCGGTGTCTGTATGCAAAAGATAACACTATCAGGGGCACTATCTCTTGCCAAAGCCCCCTCCCATCCGAAACCCCCTTGTAAACAGCGCTCCTGATAAGTATATATAATATTGCTTTATTTTCCTACCTACCTTCCTCCCCCAAATGACGTTCCAATTAGTTTCCAAGAAATCGAAAGCTAGTGCGAAAGCACGCAACTTTTGACATTTTCCTTTTGTTTTGTTAGCTTTTCATATACATCTATGTATATATATGTACATATTTATATATAATTATTTACATTTTTGCCTGTTAGTTAAGTGATGATGACATAATTCCCAGACTTGTCGGCGGAGCGGGTGAGAGAAAAGCTAACATTGCTATTGAAAAGCGATCGCTTTTCTCTTCGTTAGTTGTGACGTCATGCGGTTAAAGCAAATCGTGTGACCAAATTTGGCTCTCAAATGAAGCGAGTTGAAAAAAAAACCGGCTTTGCTACTACTTTAATGCTTATTTTGTTGTATTTTCTTGGTTTTTTTTTATTTTGTTCAACGGCCTTAGCTTAAGCCAAGTTTAAGCCATTGACGTCATGAGTTAATTTCATTAGCGTAGCGCCAAAATGCACAAGCTAAACAGACTTTTAAATGTAGACAAAAATGGTTGTTTTTTCCTGGGACTTTCCCTTAATTGTTAAAGCAAATTGCAGAAGTATAACTTTAACAGAGAGAAGACTTACTAAACTAAATAAATAAAGATAAACGAGTGTAGATAAAACTGTGATATGGTTTTTGAAATTGCAGATTCATCTGTCATATCATTTTTAAGATATTTTGTCATTCCTTCATTTATAAAAAGCTGCAGAATAATATATAAAATATAACAAAAAAGAACAGAGAAAGTTAAAGAAATCCCCAAAACAAATGTATTATGAACAGAAATGAAATATTCCACAAAAATTCCCCCAATATAATCTACCACAACCCAAATATATCTGGTTTGAAAACCCATTTTCACATCTAATAACTAAACATAAATCTATTACCTAATTTTTTATAGAACCCCATAAAGATTTCCCCAAAATAAAAGATCTGATAAAAAGTAAAACAAAAGACTAAATAAAATGTAGATAAAAACTACAGAAATTCCCCATAAAATGTGTAGAAAAATCCCCAAAATATTTATGAAGTCTTCAATGAATCGAATAATTTAGATTTGCTAAATTCCAACACAAATTTAACAAGTACCTTTGATAACTAACAACCAATTTCTTATGAAATTACTACAATAAACTCAAGTTTACCCGTGTTCCACTGAACCCAAGGAGTTTCCATCGAACACTAAATTCTATATTTACTCTTCTTTATCGGTTTCAATGAAAATAAGTTCGCAAATTCGCACATTTCGCGGAATTTCCAGAAAGCCAGTCAATGAAAGCGTTTGTAATTTGGCGACAAGTGCGTCAATGTCAATTACAACTGTACTATAGCAACGTTATCTATCGGTTGGATCGGTCGCACTTTATATCAGAGAGCTCGTGCACCCAAGGCACCAGCAAATCGAATTTACAAAATCCCATGAAAATTGCCAGGAACAATCGAAAGGCATAATAAAATAATAAAAAATAAATAAAAAGAAAAGAGTGCGAGGACTGTCAGAATGTCGTAAAAGTTTCGCACAGACCAGCCAGTGTTAAATGCGGCGATAAAAAAACGTAGGGAGTAAATAATAAAGTAAATAAAAGCGAAGAAGTCAAAAGTCGGGGGAAACAAGAACAATAATAATTAATTGTTTGTTGTTTATGCATTTTTATAAACGTACATATATATATTTATTTTATTTTTTTGCTGGCTAAGTGAATGAGCTGCTAGAGCCTTCGTTATTGGCAAAAGCAATTTTATATTTATTTATTTTTAGTTGATGCGCACATT